CTGGCAGGGAGCAGCAGCGACAGAGAACACGGGGCCAGCTCGGACTGGCGCGTTCGGCACAGGAACAAGCCAAAGCATTACCTGTATGTTTGGAGATGCACTTTTATGAATGTAGTTTATATCGCTCTTTTTTAGCTCTTTTTACATCATGTAAACGGTGATGCCTCATATTTTTTTTTTTAATTTATATCGTAAAAGATCATATTTGGTGATTTTTATATATATCGACTGTTACGGGGTTGGGGGGAGGTGGGGAAATTAATTTGACGCCTTTATGAATTTAAAAAGGAAAAAAAGCAGCTGGTTTTGCAGAGAATTTGCTGATGGTTTATAATGAGTAAAGCCAAGCCAAAATGCCTCTTTGTTTCCTCACAGCCCTCTTGATTATGGAAAAGGAATATCTGGATTCCTGAGTCCAGTGCTTCGATGAATAACTTGGGGCTGACGTTGATACCGTGGGCTTTTAACAGCCCTGGCAGCAAAAGAGTTTAAAGTGGACAGAAATGTAATTATACCTCAGAATTGAATTATATCTGGCCTCTTTATCCTGGCAGACTGGGAAAAAAACTGGGAATAAACTCATTTAGGGAAGAGTGGAGGAGTGCCAGGCTGACAATAAGCTATTGTATCAATTCCAAATGTCATGTTGGATTTCCTGCTGTTCCTCCCAGGGAGGGATATGTAGGGAATATTGAGTATTGGCATCTCTGATGGAAGGTGCTGCAGAAATGGAGAACATTCTGTTTGACAAAGAATTTCTTATCTGAGTTCCAGTGTCCTGAAATGGTTAAAACTAATCAGAAAAATGTCCAAGATTCCCATTGGAGAGGAAGTTGGGGGAATGTGGCTGTCCCTGAGGCAGTTAGGAAACAAAGCAGTGACATTTTGGTCTTGGTGTGACGATTCTGTGCATTCCAGGTTATTTGCTTGTTCTCCAGAAAATCCCATCTTTGCCTGTTCTGTGGCAGTTAGGATGCATCAATTTGTGTGGGATTTTGGGGTGGTTTTTTCGGCCTAATTTGGAACAATATTCCAAAGGACTGGAAGCTGCTCCAAAGAGTTCCCATTGACACCAGTTACCAACATAGACTGACAGGAGGGGAAAGGTAAGTGTGCCAGGAGCAGTTCAACAAGGAAGAAAAGGATTTTGTTATCACCATAAATGATGCAAAGCAGGGAGAAAGGGCTTTAACCTGGATTGTGCAGAAGACCTTGACCCAGTAGTCTCTATTTACCGACCAGGGGCTTGCAGTGCAAAGCCAGGCCAATGTATCATTTTATTTACAATAAAATTATCATTTATATGAAAGCTTGTTTTGGTGTCTGTCTTTCTAAAAAGCAGAAATTTGGAGAAGGAAAGCCTCTGCTGCAGACAAGTGGAAGATACCATGAGCTCCCTTCCCAAAATGGAGCTTCCCAGCTTAAGCGGAGGAATCTGGATGGTCTTGCACTGACTGGAACTGTGATTTGGGGAGAATAAGCTTTGCTGTCCCTGAGTAGGGCAGGAGAATGGGTTACCACATCTCCAAATACTTTCAGGTTTGGTTTTTTTTCAGCTGTGCAGCAGCCTGGGAGCTGAGGGAATGGGGAAGTGAGGCCAGCAAGGGGCAGGAAGCAGAACCGAGGGCTCTGCTTTCATTTGCTGAGCCTCTGAAGAAGGAAGGGGCCCCAGGCCTGCAGCATCACAGCCCCTCGGCAGGGCTGCTCCGGGGTGGCGGGTTTGGGGTAAATCTGCCACCTGCGTGGTGGGGACAGAGCTCTTGCTGAGGCTGAAGCCCCCTGGGAGCCTTGCCAGGGCGTGTGTGCACGGTTCCCGTGCTGCCCGAGTGTCCCCAGGCTGTGCCTGCCCAGGAGCCCTTTGAAAAGGAGACTTAACTTGTCCAACATCAGGTTCCTGTGGTCACCGAGCCAGTGCTGTCCCCAAAATCATTGTCACTGTGACCATGAGACATCACTGTGGAGCTGCTGCCTGGCTGGGGCTGCACACCCTGAGCCCCACAAGGGCTGTCTGAGCAGGGGGAGCACCTCAGACACCAGGCTCTGTTTGTGCCATCTCTTCCTCCTCTGCACTGTCCATCCCCATCTTTCTCCCTCTCTCATCCTTATCTCCTGTTTCCATGGCTGTGTCTGGCTTCTCCCAGATAGAACGTGCTCGGCTGAGCTGATGGGATCAGTCAGGGATGGAACAGAGGCTCTTGCTGTTGATACCACAGGCTGTTGCTCTATGTGGGGGCCCTGAAAAGCCCAATTCCTGTAGAATTTGAAAGACATGGGGTTCCTGAGCACAGCTGTACAAAGTGTGCCTGGAGGAAAGGTAAATAATAATTAAAACCAGCCTCATCCACTTTCTCTGGTTTTCCTGCATTTGTGCCTCCAGCCTGGCAGGGCTTGCATTAATTTGTATGAACTGTGCTATCCAAACCAGGGGAGGGGATGTGGGGTGGGTCCAAGGGACACCTGAGGCCAGCCCAGCACTGATCCCGTCCTGCCCCTGGCAGAGCCCCTGAGGGACAGGGCACAATGGCCACTGGTGGGGAGGGGAGAGTGTGAGGCAGGGCAGAGGGTGGGTCTAGTCCTGGGGGGTCCCCAGGCTGGTGAATGCCTTTTGAGGGCAGTCTGGGCTCCATCTGGAAGCTGGTGGAAGGTTCCAGCTGTGCTGTGCAGCTCACAGGGCAACACTGATGAGGAATTTGAAATCCTGGTTCGGTTCCCAAAAACCTGGGGGCTCCCGGGGGGCTTCTGGTCGGGGGCCTGCATCCTGGTCACCTCTGCCTAGTCCTCATGGTGTGCAGGACCCCTCTGAGCACCTCCCAAAGAAGGGAGGGCTGTCTCTCTCCTTTCCCTCACCCCCTTCCCTCCCAGCCTCACTCACTCCCAGGTACCAGGAGCACTTCCTTGGTCCTGCATGGACACAGGCTCTTTCCACGCTGCCTGGGCAGTAAGAGGCAGAGCTGAGCATTAGTCCCACCTCCCCAGGCCCTTGGGAACACAGGACAAGACAGGGAAGGCTGGGAAACCTTGTATTACAAAAATAAAGGTGTGCAGGTGAAGCTGCCGCAGGCTCCAGCGCAGAACGTACCAATGGAAGGCAAATATAAAAAACAGACACTTAAACCGTGGCAGGGCAACATCCTTAAGGCTGAACCATCCCAGCTGAACTGAGCTGATGTAAACCAAGGACCCTCCTTATGCAGAGCCCCAGCAGGGCTGGTGTGGTGGAGCCGGGAGCTCTGCAGTGGCTCACAAGCTGGATGAGCCCCCAGCTCATCCCTTTCCCATGGTGACAGGCCCGAAATGGATCAACAGGGCTGGGGGTCCCATGGGGGCAATTGCTTCTGCTCTGATCTCACTGTGGAGAAGGGCCTGCAGAGAGAGAGGGCTTCAGGTCTGGGGGCTGCACCCTGGTCACCTCTGCCCTGTCCTTAGGGCCTGCAGGACCTCCCGAGCACCCTCCCAAGAGGAGCTGCCCCTCTGCCCTGCCCCGGGTCCTGCTCTACATCAGCTCAGTCAGCCCGGCTCAGCTCCTCCGGCTCCGCGGGCTCCGGAGCGGGGCTGGCCCC